CCCAGCTGCCAGGTTCATGTATGTTAGCCAGTGATATACACGTTTATTATTTGAAGTTACGCCCACATCTTTCGCGAGCACGTGGATGTGTGTATGTGGAAGATGGATAAGCGGATAATCATACTGTGAGCATAATTATTATTATTCCCTTGCGTTCCAAGTGGAACATGGGGCGTTACCAGTAAATCTCTATTTCATCTCTAGCTGGCTTCATGACTGCCTATAAGGTCTCATCTCTTTCCTCAGATTATCTTCTTCATGTAACTCACGAACACATATCAAACTCATCGTTTTTCATTCACGTTCCAGTCAAGGTTCTCCCTGGCGCGTGATGTCCATCAACGGTCTTTCTTCAGTGTGTCCCCAATCCATCTCCATTGACGTCACCATATATCTTGGACAATAAGTTGTTGGTTAGTTCATTGTCTCTGATCAGGAGTATGGAGCAAAGGCCAGCAATTGATGAAAGTCTGAAGTCTGTTCGAAATGCTTATGTTGACGAATTCACGAAGTCTCTGAACCAATATAGAAGCACTGACTGACTGGAAATTAGTGTGTGAAATCGGAATCTTATTCTTTGAATGCTGTAGGTTTCCACACTGATTTCAGTGTAACGAATGTCTGCCTGGCTTTAACATCCTCATCTGTACCGGACTGTGGTCAAAAGCATGGCTCCTAGATAGTTGAAAGAATCAATTTTTTAAAAATTACTCTGGTTTATGCTGATCGGGTTTTTTCATCACTTCCGTCTTCTCTATTTTCGGTTACAGTCCTGTCTCCTCTGACTCTTCCGTCAACTTGCCTGTAGATCTTCTAGTTTGTGTGACACTAAACATAAATCATCCATTAATTTCAAATCTTCTAGAGTCTTCTTGTCATTCCAACGTATTCCCGTCTTCTCGCTCCCTCCCCCCGCCCCGCACACACACACGGTTTGTCGCCTGACCCAGTCCACCAATACAATAGACATAATCATTTCTATTCAATTGGACAGTTGCACATCTAGGTGATTGATGGTTTTATTTTGATTTTGTTGGTGTTGTTGTTGTTGTTTTTGTTGTAACATTACTCCTCTAACTTAAGTTGACTATATAATCCATAATTTTTCTTCTTTTCCAAACGGGTTATCTACAATAACAATACACAATATTGTTATTATTATTAGTAGTATTTTGGGTGTGTAGACATTCATCCTATTTTTGTCTTGATATGCAATCCCATTGTATAATAATAATAATAATAATTGTTTTTTGAATTATTCTAATAACTCCTAATAATGACAGTCTTTCATGCTTCCCAAAATAAGGCATTGCTCTTAAAATTAATGTTATATATATATATATATATATATATATATATATATATATATATATATATATATATATAATCAGCATACTGGATACATTTTTGTTTATGCTTGGTTTAAAGGGAAATGAGAAAGATGTCCATTAAGTAATGTATGGATATGTACAATAAAAATGGCATGTTGTGTGTGTGTGTGTGTGTGTGTGTGTGTGTGTGTGTGTGTGTGGTAGCTCAACCAATAGTGGTATGCCTTATTGGCCTGTACATATATAAGCTATCTATTAAATCACTTTTCATCTCTTCTCATGAGAATAACTTCACGTAACTCCCCGCATGTAGAAGGCAATAAATTAGAGCAGGACTTTCTGAGTAAATAGTTAACACTTTTTTACTGACGACTTTGATAACTAAGCTGTGCTAAACTTGCGTTAGTCAATGTTTCAGTTGTGGGGAATAACAGAGATTATGAATTAGAAGTGGTCGAATTGCGGAACAATAGTTTTGAATTCCTGAGGTGAAGGTAGTTTTAATGTAGGGTTTATTCGGAAAAGCTATCCTGGAAACAGTTTCTTGAGGGGTGGGGGAGGAAGGTCTCCCTTCTGTGTCATTCAATCATTAATAGTTTAAGGCTTGTTTATCGGTTCAACTTATCTTTGTAGAATACTTTGATAAAAAAAACACTCAGTTTTACAACCAGTCTGAGAGGTATTCGCTCATGTCTACTGTATTTCTCGTATCCAGACTGATTACTGTTCAACGTTTTCAATATAGAGCCTTGCACAAAAATATACAACAGTTCTAGTTACCGTACTCCATATAGCACATTAAGGTGACTACAATGATCAGAAATGTACGGTGGAATGAATAAGTAGGTGGAGGAAAATAACAATTTTACTGGATCTGTTGGGTTCATAAAAAGTGAATGCATCTGCACCACTGAAAGAAAGATTATAAGGTATATCTGTCTGTCTGTCTGTCTGTCTGGATTCAACATAGAACTTGGCACCGAAGTGCAGCAGTTCGAGTTGCCACGTTCCAAATAGCACACAAAAGTAGACAAGAAGATGAGTGAAGAGAATTAATAGAGTTTGACAAGTATAAGAGTGAAACAGAATGGGTATATCACCATTGGTCTCAGGCTTTTTGGTTTTCAGTTTTTCGAGGACTCCCATCTTAAGCAGTTTGCACCTCGTTATTTGATCGATTCAAACGAACAGTTAAAGATTTCATAGAGTGATACTAGGTTTCGGTTTAATCTCACCCCTAACTCTTTTCCAACCTAATCCTATGTCAGGTAACATTGCTGGTTGAAGAAGGTGATAGCTCGGCATACGTAGCAGATGTCCTAGCCATCTCAATAGATTTAACTGTCTGTCTGTCTGTTTTCGACATAGAACTTTGCACATATGTGCGGCAGTTCAAGTCGCCACAACCCATGTATCACACAAAGCAAGAGAAGAAAGCACAAGAAAGGCATAATAGAGACAGTAAACAGAGGTGTAAGGCAATAACTGCATAGGCTCAACGGCCTCGATTGACATATACACCTTACTTAATTCTTTACGTCTAACTTCTCAGCATTACTCACTATAATATACTACTTAAAACGGGAGATAGGATGTAGACACCTATGGTCAAAGACAGTTAGTCTCCTCAAGTCTTCTCCTTTCAACAAATATGTCTTCTCATAGCCACAAACAAGATATAATGAACTTCTGTGCAGTACATACGTCCTTTAGTCGACAGTCGGATATCACCTTCACTCCAGAGGTTATGTAGGTTGGGAATGCTATACAAGCTTTTTGTATTTGGGTTGAGATTTCATCATTTAAACCCATTAGTTTTGATACCACTTTCCCAATAAATGAAGTGGTATATGAGTCATGGGCAAAGTTAAACTTTAAGCACCACTAACTACCAATCATCGAATGACCTCGAACGGACCAATCGTGTGAAGGAGGCATTTTGTGTATGGAATACACATATTTATGAAGAAATTGCAGAGAAACTGTATAAAAGTGTTACAGAGGATACTTTCCTCTCACATATGATAAAAATAATTCTGTTTTAGGTTTCGGTATCAACATAGTGTAATTCCACTGTGGGTAAAAATTATTTTGATAAAGTTTCATAGTGTTATACAGTAGTATTTACTGAACAATAGATTGTGCTCGAAACGTCATCAGCAAATATTACTGTATAACACCGTGAGACTTTATCAAAATAAATTTTATCTGCAATGGAATTATACCACAGTGCACAAGTTCTATTCTTATATTAACAGAGAAATTTAATCACATTCTATGCATGTAGTTATTTAGGTCTTCTAACCCTAGCAATAACCCAAATCTTTTCTGAACTAAACCCTAACGTGAAAATATCCTTAAACTAACTGTAATCTAACTCGAACCAACTCTAATATCGTCTTTTATTAGGTTAACGCAACCCTAACTTGTCCTTGACCTAAGGGGTAACTTAATCTTTACCAACCCTAAGGTAAAACTCGCCAAATGTCCCATTTAATAATATAACACTTCGATGAGCATATTTTATTGATGATGACAACATTATTTGCCAGGTTCCACTAACTTGCTGAGTGAACATGTCAAGATCATTGGTGCGTACGCACTCCATTGATGGTAGTTAGTTGTGCTTAAAGTGTAACTTGGCCGAATAAATGCATAACTGAATGAAACGTGTTCACTGATATTTTTATTCTAAAATGTCTAACGTATCTCATATGTTGATTAATTTCTCTGTAGTTTCTTTTTTATTGATTTAACTGATAATCAAAGCCAGACTGACTATTACTCCATCTTGTACTTGTACCTCTCAATAAATACACTTTATAGCATAATTCTAATTTGCCTTTACTGGCTATTTATTGCATGCTGAACTTAATGGATTTATAACTGTTTGGTTTGAAGAAGAATGTTTGGAAAGCAGTCAGTCGCTTTAATTAATTATTCTCCAGAATATTTGTTCTAGTTGTTATTGAAATAGTAAGAGATTTATAGCTCGGGTGAATTTTTCTGTTTTCTAAGCCTTCATTGTATTTTTGAACATGTTCAATGTTAACTTCATTGAGAAATGCGATTTTAAAATCCTCCATAAACAAAATATTTGTCTGTTAGAGGGGGTCGAATGTGATTGACAAGAAGTCTTGAATCTAGGTTTTGTGCTTGTTGGCACTCATAAGCAAGATGTATGTATCTAAAATCTTGAAGGGACTCGTGTCCTCCCTTCTGAAATTTGAGCCCGCATCACCTAATGTTGCAGTCATGGTCATTGCACTGAGCTCTTCGGCCTTCTGATTAACCTTCTGTGGGGCCGTAGTGAATACTTTGTTTGGACAGTTTTGCAGTAACCTGATTGGTAGAATTCAGTCTGCACCGTTAGTTAATACTACCTAGTATCCAATCAAATAAATATTTATCTCTCCTGTTGACCTTCACTGTGATTGGCTGTTTCTGTAGTTTTGCATTTGATTATATTTATTTGTGTTTGATATTGATTTTCTGGTCGACCCTATATAAATGTATTTGGACTTTTTGTTCGTAAACCTCTTCTTTATTGATTTATAAATTCCACTGACATCAACATGTTTAGCTAGTGTGTAAGAAAACTATCTCAGTTATTGTTGAAATTATTATTATTATTTTCTTCAAATCATTGTCGTTTCTAAATCTGTGTAGATCCAGTACTGGAGGTGATGGACTCTCCTTGTCTTCAGTCAACTTTTCCCAGTTGAACAGAAAACTTCAAGATTTAGAAGAAGAGAATAATATACTGCGTCAAGAGGTATGCAATTTAACTATCCAATTATCCATATTTGTCGGATGTGTGTATAGTAATAATAATAATAATAATAATCACTTTATTACAAGCAATAATTTCCTACATAGACTGGAATTGTCAGCATTTAGGCATATCACAACAATTTATCTCCTTTTATAAATAAATGGATTCCCAAAAATAGAAAAATAAAAAAAAACTGGAAGTTAATACCACGTGCAATAGTAATTCTGTATAGTTGTCTTTGTTTTTTACTTACAGAGTAAAAAGTAGGAGTTTATAAGTCTCTCTCTGATATTTGTCTCTTCACACAAGACTCATTACTAAATATAGTATAGTTGAATTCTTATTGTTAAGCAGATATACATACGAGCCTAAATTGTTATTAAATTGCTTCTGGCTTTTACCTGAAGAGATACAAGAAGAAAGTTGTCAATAAAAAGAGGATGTTAGTGTGTGACATAATGATTTCAACCAATGAATGAATACGGATGTGAAGTTGGTTCTTCTGTACGGGTCATGAAAAGGATTTCCAACAGACCACTGCAGACTTTCATCAACAGCTGCCTCCTTCGCTGGCTTCATACTGAAGATCAAATTGCCAGCCAGGAAGAATAAGCAACAAGAAACTCCGGCTGATAACAAACGAACTGGCGAGAGCCGCATGGCTCAACAAATATGTAGGAGAAAGTGGAGATGGATTGGGTATACGTTGAGGAGGCCGCAGAATGACATCGCACGCCAGGCCATCGCTCGAGTTGAATCCCAATAGGAAGCGAAGAGTGAGTCGTCGGTGCGAGCGTGACATGGAGGAGATCGTGTGGGTAAGAGATGAGGGAGTTTGGTCGATCGTGGATCCAGCTGAAGAAGACGGCAGAAAACAGAGAGATATGTCGTTGAAGCCCTATGTTCCACTCGGAACGCAATGGAATATAGTTATAATGCACATAATTTCGCTATGTAGAGATGCCAAGTCTTGCAATTAAGTGTTCTCTGAGCTGGTTGGTTTAGTTGCGGAGCTTTCGTCGTCCTTCTGGACGACCTCTTCAGCGAAATATTTAGCATAATGTGAAACAATTTAAATTTCTTCATGAGTGATAGAATCTTGTCTCCTGGTAACCATCTTTACATATGTATTGACCATTTTCTATTGACTTGGATTTTAAACATTCTCGTCACATGATCTACTTTTTATTAGTTGGTATATTTCGTCTATATTAACGTGTTTGTTAATTGCGTATTCGTTTGAGTATCAGGCTTCTAGGAATTCCCTGACTGCACTTTTGGTGTCCCCTCTGTCTAAGATTTCGACATTTTTCCAATCAAACTGATGTCTATATTTGTCTATATGCATTGATATTAAAGAATATATATCGTGCATTTTCACGGCTGATTTGTGTTCCTGGAAAGGGACGCCCACTTTGGCCGATGTAATGTCTGTTACAGTTCATACAATTTACTTTGTAAATGGTGTTAATTTTATCCCCTTTTTCTGTTGGATCTTTGCATAATATCGAATTAAGCGATTTGACTGGCTTGTGTACTACATTTGTATCAAACGGTTTTAGTATTCTAGCTGTTATTTCAGAGATATTTCTCATGTATGGTAGGATGAATTTTCTTGTGGTCTTTGATGATGGTTCCTTGATGGTGTTTCGATTCGACTTTAAACACTTTTTGATGAAATTTTATGGATAACCATTCTTTTTGAAGACCATTGTTTTCAACTCTGGAGTGCTCCAATGTGTTTGAACTCTTTTGAAAAATGTCTGCACACAGTTTCGTTTGTGAGTAATTGTCTTTTGTCTACTACCGTTACGTTTTTTACGAGTTGATCACGGATTGATATCAGTTAGAGAACCATTGGAAACCAGCACTGGAGTACTGGAAAGCTGCTGTTTCATCCTAGTTTGGGAATCATCGAAAGTACGCACCCACCACCAGAGTTCGAACCCAGGACCTTCCGGTTACAAGGCAAGCTAGCTCGTATACCATTCAGCCACTGGGAGGCGATTCAATGGTTTTGAATTCTAACTTCTACCAATTCGTGATTTAGCGCGACCCCAACCATTGTCGTTGGTGGGACATCCGTAACATAACTAACCCTTACAAACCAAACTATAGAAAATTAATCTGATGCTCGCTAGTGACTTGCTACAGGTTGGAGTTTCCTGAGTTCTAGTGAGAAGTCGTGACCAGTGAGGTCCAGTTAGATGTTACGTGGGTGGATGGATGTCCCACCAACGACAATGGTTGGGGTCGCGCTAAATCACGAATTGGTAGAAGTTAGAATTCATGAGCCATTGAATCGGGTCTCAGTGGCTGAATGGTATACGAGCTAGCTTGCCTTGTAACCGGAAGGTCCTGGGTTCGAACCCCGGTGGTGGGTGCGTACTTCCGATGATTCCCAAACTAGGATGAAATAGCTGGCTGTCCAGTACTCCAGTGCTGGTTTTCAATGGTTCTCCAACTGATATCAATCCGTGATCAACTCGTAAAAAACATAAATAACCCTTACAAACCAAACTATAGAAAATACTACCGGTACAAAATGAATTTTGAAGTTTTTATTTATAGGAGTTTTTCGATTGATTTCAGTTTTGATCACTTCTCTCATTTTTATTGCGATTATTTTATGTTTCTACTCCAGTGATAGAATTCACTATTAACTTTCATTAAAATTTTTTCTCACGTGTTTTTGTTGATAATGATTGTTTTAAAAAAAAATTAATAATTAAATAAATAAATATTAAATGTCTGAAATTCAATTGTCTAGTAGTTTGTTTATTTTGTTATTATTATTTTTATTGTTCACTTTACTTTCGATTAGCGTAATCGTCTGTCAGAAACTGCAGATCAGCTGGATGAACATGAAACTGCTCTAGTTCGAGATTGTGCACGTCAACTGATTGCTGCCAATATGCATATACGTACATTATCAGATGAATTGGCTAAAAAATCTGATGCTTATATTAATCAACAATCTGAAGTGACACGTCTACTAACCCGAGGATTAGATTTAGAAAGTCGAGTTAAACAGGTAAATGCTTTTTCATTTTTTTTGTTTTTATTTCATGGATAATCCCCATTCAGGCATTAATGAAAACGTAGTTCAGCGAAGAGTCTCTTTTCGGTGAATTCATTCACACTTAGCTGTACAATTGCAAATATTTAAGGGGATTTTTTTGTATGTATGTGTACGTTAAGTTTGTCAAACCAAAAAACAATTGTTTAATTGAATTTTTGATTTTCCCGTCGATTGATTGAACCGAAGTGCTCGATCTCAGGTTGACATGTCGGCTTCTTGTGCAGATGCTTCGACGATGTCTAGGCATTTAATTAATATTTAATTGGTGGATGGTGACTAGCAGTGGAATCCAAAATGCGCATTTGGTCCTATTTGGGACTCGTCGGGTGTATGTACCTGCATTTCTCGGCGAGTGATGTTCTCACTGAGGCTCAAACCCAGTGCCCATAGTTTCAAACACCAAAGCGTTATTCACTTTTTTTAATCCACAAATTAAATACTAATTAAATGCCCGGAGATCGTCGAAGCATCTGCACAAGAAGTCGACATGTCAACCTGAGACCGAGCACTTCGGTTCAATCAATCGACGGGAAAATCAAAAATTCAATTCAATAATTAATATGACCCGTTGCACAAGAGATGGCTCTCGTGGCCCAAGTGGTCTAGTGGATAACGCTTTGGCGTTTGATACTATGGGTACTGGGTTCGAGCCTCGGTGGGAACATCATCATTCACTGAGAAATGCAGGTGCATCCAGCTGACGAGTCTAAATAGGACGAAATGCGCATCTTGGATTCCACTGATAGTCACCACTTAAAAATACAATTGGTTATCATTATTTTAACTAAACAGTTGAAAATAAGTTTTTGGTAGAGTTATGTAATACAAAAACGGTCAAGAAAATTGGGTGTTAATGAAACTAGTGTAGTAACAAAGGTGGTGAGTTGTCACATACAGTTGTTAAAAAAGAGTTGCGTAATAACGTGACTAGAGTTTGTTGATGGAGTTGTACTCAGGATACACACAGGAACAAAGTAGCGAATACGAAATTACGTAAGAGTTCTAGATGAATGCACGAGTTATAAAAAATTGAAGAAACAGGTAAACAAACAAAATTAAGTCTTCAAAAATCAACAAAGTTGTTACCATGGTAGTAGAAGTGGCTGAATAGTTCTTTTTTTGTATGCACAGCTACAGTTTTTCTATGTGAATGGTCAGAGCTTCAGCTCCGTACAAAAAAGACAAAACTGTATTGCCTTTGCTTTGATATAAGTATAAAACTTGGGCACTGTGGTAGAGTATAATTCCATTATAGATAAGATTTTGTTTTGATAAATCGCACAGTGTTTACAGTTCATATAACTGTAAACACTGTGCGATTTATCAAAATAAAATCTTATCTATAATGTATTGCCTTTGGTAGGTTATTCTCAACTCTATAGATTACTTTGAATCAGGAGGCGTTTGATGAGATGGAATGATCAGTGTTAACGAGGTATTCAATTATCGCACTCCTTATAGCACCACTATTGCATTTTTGCAACCATGGTGGCTGGATAGTGTTCTTTAATCCTCTTGGACAGGCTGCGCATCGAATGACCGATGTACCTGACTCCATATCAGCAGGTGAACTGATATATATACGTAGAAGTGGTCAGATGCAGGATCTTGTCCTTAAGGCTTCTGCAGATCAGTAGGAGACTGGAGAACATTATTCTTAGCGTTGCTGCAAAGAATGTTCTTCTCAGGGATGATGTGATCCTTCTCTTGAGAATATCGCTTGCTAAATCTTCCTTGAAATCCAAGTTCATGTAAAGTTTTTTTCCGGAGCAAGTGAAGTTTCCCTTCTCCGAATTCTTGATTTGATATTTTTGTCAATGAATCTTGATGGGTATCCATTTTGGATGAAGATTTATCTCAAAAGGTCTAATTCTGTTTCTAGAACATCTGGACTACAGATGCCTCGGATGTGGGTGGCAAGGGATTTAATTAAATTCTGCTTTTATCATTTGTTCTCATTGGTATTTGAGGTTAAGAGTGTCTGCTTGAAATGATGTAGAGTATAGATGGAATAGAAGGAATTACTTTAAACTGTTCAAAATACCAATATTTATTTTTATTTTTGATTACAGCTTGATTCCACACTGTATTTTTGGTACAAGTATGGAATTTTACCATGGATATCGGTAGCCCAAATTTTTCAGGCCGACCATAGATATCAGGCGTGCGTCGGCAGGGGATCGAACCCCGGACCATGAGCATGGTCGGCGAGCATCCCACTGATCCTAGTTAACTTTGTTGGGTTTAATAGAGTTTTAGTTTCCTTCAACATGGATTCATTGAAAATATAGACAGCGGTTAGAGAGGTCTTTTGGGAGCCGTAGTTCATTCATTGAATAACTGATCATTGTTGGTAAAATTCTTGAAGAACACCTCAAAGTTCTGATGCTTAGGAGGGACCAGGGAGATATATCAAACTGAGTGTGAAGACAGGTATCTGCTAGTAACATTAATCAGCAGTGGTACTGTATCACGCATTTAGAAAAGTTGAAATCCACAGGTTAGATGGTATCCATATTCTACTCATGACTTGAAGGTCGTGAGCTTGTCCCTTGGTGAGAATATGTGTGTGCACTGTGAAAGACTCCTAAACTGAGAAGAAATAACCATTCAGCGCCTCTTGGTTTTGAATGGTTCTCTAAGATTATGACACCTTGAAGCTAACCAGATCCTCACAAACTTGACTTTGTCAGGAGGTCTTCAATTGAAACCTAATCAGTCGAAGATCTTCAGCGGATCAATTTTAGTTTTTATTCACCCATGCACTAGATGTTTGTGTGTTATCAATAACTAGTAGTAATCAGATGGCTTTCCAACTTCACTTCTTGCATTCCTTGAACTCTCAGTACAGAGTTTTATATCTTCAAAATACTTCATGAAAAAGGGCATTTTTTCATGTCAGCTTATAGAAGCAAAGTGAAGGGTATTCTGTCGTTGAAATTTCATCTGTAAAATGTTTGATTAGAAGTTATTTTTAATATAATAGTGTAATTTGTTGTCAAAAGCAGGAGAAATTGTGAATTGCTTAGATGGCATGTTGTTATTGTGGTGTTGATTGCAAGCGCTTGTGTTTCATCAAATGAACTACACTATAAGAAGAAAGGAGTAATTGGAGGCTTACAAAAGCTGTTTTTCTTTTTGACATAGATTCGTCTTACGAAGCTTTAAAGTGTTGATTTGCTGGGATTTGATTTGATTAGTTACAGGATGTCTTCCTGAACTAACATAGGTTAGAAAAGCATTGGAAACCACAGAGTACTGAACGTTCGTTTTATCCCAGTTTGAGATTTTTCATTAATACGCACTCACTGGGGTTCGAACTCAGTACCCCCTCAGTTAAAAAGCCAACTCGTTGACCATTAAGCCACTGGTACCAGGTCCAACGGCCCTTGAATTTCAGTTTCTGCTAATTCACGAAATAGCGCGACCACAGGCCAGTGTCATCAGCGGTGAGTATTTGTCCTCACACCCTATCTATTGTACCCCACTGGTCACGACTTCTCATTCGCACTCAGGTTTCAATGGTTTTCTTGTTACTAAGAATTTCCTGGCTATTTAAATGGACGCACTGGTCGCTGTAAGTCCATTTGATATTTAGAGAGAAATTTGTGAACTTTTGTTTAAACCTATGGGGTTTAAATAAACTATGCACTTAGTATTCATCGATGCTTTGGGTAATCTTTTAATCATTTCTGTCTAGCTCACTTTTTGGTGTTATATTTTAAGAAAGAATTGAAGGTCGTTTGAGTGATTTAAAAATAAGTAAAGTAAAACAATCGTACTCGAGATATCTTATGACGTATTTATGGTGTTTAACAAACCTTAAAGGAATTTTCTAAGCCTACTTGTATTTATGAGTTCTCTTATGTTAGTTTCTAATGGAACGTGCCACTGATTCCTTAAAGTGTGTAGCTCTAGTATTCTACAGGATTTTATTTCCTTGCAAAGATTACAGATTTCTGCTCGTCCGCATGATTTTATGTATTGGTGATTATCTTGCGCAGCTCGTTTGTACGATTTCGCATAATTTAAATATGCTAGTCACTATCCTAGAGAGGTTGATTCTCACTGCATAAGATCCTTCGATGGTAGCCACTCCACCAGTGTACTGGTGGTTGTCGCCTGGGTGACCAGATTAGATTACTAACTCGGTAGTTAAAAAAAAGTGCAGAATCCACTTCCATTCCATCCATATCCTCTCACAGATTCGTAGCACTTCAATCCCTTATCTTCCCGTTTCTTTCGCAATCTTAAGCAACCATCTCAGTCTGGCCAATCCATGTTCTTATGCTTGTTTTTGCTTTCATTGAGAGATGACATCGGCTAACTTGCTTCCAGAAGTCTTTCTACTCACCTATGTCATTCTGTCTATTCAATATCAGTAGAGAATAAGTTTGTTTTTTTAAATTTTCTCTGTGCTTTGAAGTTTATGTGGAGATTATTGGGTTGGTTTTTGTGGGATAGAGTCACTAGCTCCACGTCTAACCTTCCTTTTTTTAACTGGGCTTAAAACTGGCTAGTGAATTAGTTAACCATACGAAGTTCCACCCACCCAAGATAATAATAATAATATGTTAATAATATACAAGTAAGTATGTTTCCTAGTATAATTTCGTCACAGGAGAGAAAAAATAGCATAAAGACTTGTATCCACGGGTTTTTTTTTATATATGCAAGTTTAGCGGCCTACATCCGTTATCCAGAGTTGTTTCATGTTATGTTGTATGATTCGAAATGTCTTGGAAGGTTAACCCTTATCGTTATCGTTATATCACAGTCAACTTTGCATTTCAGCTCTAATATCTCTATTCCATTTTGCTTTTTTTTGTTTCTTGTTAAACCAACAATATTTGAGTGCAAATCAGTAATCAGTGTCTACCTTGAACAAATAAAATACACCAATGGTATAATCTTCGGTGTTTTTATTTCTCTTCAATCGTTGTTCCATATTGTTTTTTACATATTCTCACACCACTTATCTCTGTGTACAGAGAATATTCGTGTGAAATAAAACACTTATACTATGATAAATACTCTTATAATATTGACTTGAGATACATAGTTTATGTATACAATCATCATGTATCTTAGATATTGTAGTAACAGCATTAGTCATTAAGCTTATTTTCTTCAATTTGGTTTGTAAGGGTTAGTTATGCTTTTACGAGTTGGTCACGGATTGATATCAGTTAGAGAACCCTTGGAAATCAGGGAGTACGAATTGATAGAAGTTAGAATTCATGAGCCATTGAATTGGATCTCAGTGGCTGAATGGTATACGAGCTAGCTTGCCTTGTAACCGGAAGGACCTGGGTTCGAACCCTGACAGTGTGGTGGGTGCGTACCTCCGATGATTCCCAAACTAGGATGAAACAGTAGCTGTCCAGTACTCCAGTGCTGGTTTTCAATGGTTCTCTAACTGATATCAATCTGTGATCAACTTGTAAAAACATTAAACTTATTTTTTTTCGGTTTTATTTTCAACCTGTTGGTTTTTTTTGTATTTTCTATCATGTGAGACTTCTAGTCATAAATTTTTAGACAAAGATTGATTTGCCAACCGGTACACTGATGGTTGTTCACAATACGTACATTACTGTGAAGCACTAATCATTAGTACACTTGTATTATGTGTATATACATGATCTTTGCTTCGTTATCCATCGTTCCGCTCCCCCACCCTCTCCCTGCTACCTTCACCGAAGTAGAAACACACATACACACACACACCACGCTCAAACTTGTTATTTATTAGTTGTAATCTCTTCGTTTTGTTTTGTTGTATTTTCTTTTTAGTTGACAGCAGAAAATGAAATGTTGATTAATCGTCTGAAAGAAGCACAAATATCACAGACGTTATTGACAAGTGAATTGAAGACATCACGTGATAAATACGATGAATGCTTAACACTGTATAATGAAGCAAGAGTAAGACGATAAACTAATGTATATATATGTCTTTTGTTTTGATTGTGTGTGTGTGTGTGATGGAAAAGAAATCGTTCTTTCCGTTTTACTCTGAAATTTTACGACCAGTTTTTATTATTCCTTTCTGTTCTGAGTGGAACATAGGGCTTCAACAGGACATCTCCGCTTCATCCTGTTTTTTAAAACCCTCTTTAGCTGACTGCACGATTGTCTATAGTCTCCCCATCTCTTCCTCACATGACGTTTTCCATTGTAACAACAGAAGACAAGGGTCAGGCAACAGATCGTTTATATCGTATATATATATATATCGTATTTATATATATTTCATGTACATTATTATAGCTTATTCAAGCAGACAAATACAGTCTTCTGATTGGTTGTTTCTTACAGAAAGTTGACCTTGCATCTCTTTGTGACTTTCTTGAATGCCAGGTCATCTGTACATTAACTGTATCTGTCTACTCCAAGTCTGCTGTGATTGGTTGTTGAATCGGTCTGTTCATATTTTCTCACCACCATATTTGCGACATACCCATGGATGTAAAATGCTGTCTACCATTTTTGGCTAGTTTGCTCTCGCCACACCTTGTTTTACCCTGGACCCACACTCAACTCATCGTTTCCCATTCAGGTTCGACTCTAAGGGCTGGCGTGCAATGTCACCTAACAGGTCTCCTTTAGAGTTTGTCCGACCTACCTCTACTTTCTTTGACATATTTTTGTTGGACAATATCTCTTATATTATTACACGGCGAAAAATTACTTGTTCTTCTGTTTTTATTCGGTGTATGGTGGCTGACTAGTCATGATACTCAGGATATGCGTTTCTTTCTATTTGGGATTTGTTAGCTGGATATACCTGCATTACTCTCAGTGAGTGACAATGCTGCCAAGTAGCCTAGTTGTTTATGATATAGATTTTGGAACTATAGGCGGTGAATTCGAGTCTCATTGTGAACACATCACTTACTGGGAACAGCTGGGTGCATCCAGTTAACAAGTCCCAAAATGGAGCATTAATAGAGCATTCTGGATTCTATTGCATTATTACAATACACCACCAAATAGCAATATAGTAATTCTCAGGCATCGTTGAAGCCTTTATTCTAGGAGCCGCCGGTATGTTGACAAATGTCGAACAAGGGGAAATACAAAATAAACTTAAGCGGATACCTACTTCTTTTGAAATTTTCCTTACGTTGTTGCTGTTGTTATTTTCTGGCATACTGTATGTGCTGAGGGTTGGTATATATTAACTGACATGGGTGGTATGTGCTTAACAACACTCCCTTCTAAAGTTATATTTATTTATTGTGTTGGAGGAATCATTGAGATTGCATTGTCTACATTTTTATGGTATGATTCAACTCCATTTTCTTGGAGAGGATATCTTAACTCTTTCTACTGTATATGCTATTCAACTTCAGAAAATCCTAGACTTATGACTCCTTGATATAAAATCTGTAAATACGACTGGAAATGATATCGGTTGCGTTATACACTCTGAGTGGTATTATACAGAGTAATGACTTTCTCAGTTGAATAGGTTTCAGCAAAGGGGACTGTTTTTCTGGTATTCCACCTTAGCAAACACAATATTTCTCTGCACAGTGGTCCATTTCTTCTCATTATGTACAGTTAAGAGTATTTACTGATAAAGCCTTTTGCATAAGGTCTGTTTAACCATTTTTTAAAGTTTAAATTAGCCTCCTTTTCGTGAAAAAAAAACAACAATGTCTTTGACAAATTTGATAAGTCTTCGAACTAATTCGCGTTCCCTGTAACTCATTTTGATTCAACTTGATGACTGCATTCAGCAATTCTGATAATGGATAGTCTTGTGAATCGCAATACCTCATTTTTTTTCTCAGAAAAATCACAACCAGTCTTTATGGGTTACATTCCATGGTTGGCGGTTAGAGTTGAAGACAATCTGAATTAACTTGAGGCATGATTTATATCTTTACAGGTGATGAAGGTGTCAGCCATATATATTGCATAAAATTATGTATGTCTGCTTGGTCACCAACCAACTATGCATATGTTCCGGAGTTCGACTCCCCAGTTTACTAGGTGATAGTAAATCCGGAAAATAGAGCGGGTGAGGTGTCGTGAGGTGGGTAACCTCGTCTTGTAAAAAAGAAACACAACTACTGAAATTTCAAGGTTTCATGTCTGGATCTCTATGTTCTGCTTTGTAGGCCTTATCAAACTGACGATGGACTTTATGACTGAGCTGTGATCGGAAACAGTGTACTTAGAGTTTAGGAATTTTTGAGTCTTCTATGCTAGTGGGAGCAATATTCAGTCAGTCGTGTATTCTTTTCAACTGGTTTCCTAGTTATTTGACAAACTTCCAGCCAATCCTATTTGCTCGGTATTGATTTTTCTGCAAAACTTTGCTTAAGTTGACGAGAGAGACTTTTTATCTTCAAAAAACTTAATCCCCAGTAGACTATTGGCATAATTTTACTAATGGATTATCGTCATTCGCTTATTCAGAGATAGAGCTATATTTTCTAATCTAACGTGGACTAAATTAGCATAATCGATAAAAAGACATGAAAACAAACTTGAAATTACATATTACTTTTATTATGTAATAGTTTTTCTTTGACAGTCTTATTTTAACAACAAGTGACTTGTTCAAAGGTCTTACTGTGGCAAATCATCTACCTTAATGTGTATTATTTTGACTGGTAGAGATGTAGCTTTTTAGCTTAAATACTCAACTTGCCGTCTATCGGGTTCCGGGTTCAAACCCTTCTCGTCTGAATATACTGTGGCCAACTGGATGTTTTCATCAGACCTGATACAACACCAAGTGTAGGTAATAGTCTAGAACATAAAACAGCTCTCTCGAGTGCTTGAGATCAAACCACATGAATATTTTGATTGTTCAACTGATGTACAATTATATACGTGGCGTTGTGGAGAGAGTAGTTTGTTTAATCTCACCAGTTTTATCAACTTTATTTGACGAATTTACATGAAATGGTTATTTTCTCTCTGTGTGTTGACTTTGTGTTTTTGTACTTGATAAGTTTCAATTTATAATTGTTTCATGTTTCTTTGAGCATTTCGATATGCACAGATTTCAAGTGTGTGTTTTGTAGGCTTGTTTTTTTTTCTTGTTTAATTGTGGAATAAATATGTCTTGCATGCATTGCAATTACATAATTATTGTACCATTTGGGTATATTGGTGGAACTATTGATTTTGAACGAGATTACCTTCATTATATTATATATATAATTACTATTCTCTGGGGTTCCGAGTGGAGCATAGGGCTTCAGAAGCAAATCTCAATTTCAGTTTGCTTCCTACAGTTGTCCACGATCTTCATTAATCTTTTAGTTCCTCCTCACACATGTTTCTCCATGTCACCCTCGAAAAACACCCGTTAATCTGAGTTCCTCTTGAGGTTCTGTCTAGCCTGCAATATCACTTAACTGTCTTCTGAGCGCATGTCTAACGTATTCTTTCCGGCCTCCCTTTCCAGTCTATGACTTACTTCAATGGGATTTTCTTATCAAAAATGGATAGAATGAAGACTAATTGATATGATATGCGTCGGTGACACAGTGGTTAGGACTGTCGCCGACAATGCACATGGTCCGAGTTTCGATCCTCTGCCGACGAAGCCTGCGAAATTTGGGCTACCGATATCCATACTGAAAATTCCATAATTGTACCAAAAATGCGGTGTGGAAACAAGCTGTAATCAAAATAAAAACAAAATAAAACGCTTAACCGATTGATAATTTTATGCATCAAACTGAATTTATCGATTTGTTTTGTTTGAGTGAATTATAGTCTCTGATTTCGTGATCTGTGAATAATTTAATTCATCACAGTTTTCTAAAAAAAAAAATCTCTACATGCTGCACTTACCATAATGGACGATATTTGAATCTTCAACACTAATGTCATATCTGTTATTCTATGTGGTTGAGACATTTAATGCATTACTGAAAGTAATTACATTAGCCTTGTGAAGACTTTTGATCAATATATGCCTTCGCTTGATATTGTGAAGATAAGATATACCTGGTCAAAAGGACTAGTAACAAGGAGCTGTGACAGTTTGCGAATCAGCCAAGAGCCAATCACCTATCAAATTTTCAGAAGGAAATGTAAATGGATTGGACATGAATTGCGAAGACCGTTGAGTAGTGAGACCACGCGCACCAGGCAGGACGTCGAATGGGAGCCAAGTGGGAAAAGATTAGTTGGGCACTTGTCTGAGAGGGATCGTGTGAAGAGGAAGCGATAGCCTATAGGCAACTGTAGAGCAAGCTGAAAAAGATTTTAGATGTTCTACGGAAGTCTTATCTTCCACCCGGAACTCAGCGGTTTTTCATATTAAACTGAGAGTGTATTTCAGCATTCAGATATTAGTGGAATAGTTCAGCCTATGCGACTACTAAATCAGTGAGAAACATTGTAGACTAAATTACTGTATTGACCAATTTTTAAATAAATATCATCTAATCTACTACATACCTTTCATCGACTGTGAAGTTAAGTATCTAGGCCAAATCAGGTGATCTGGATCAGGTTGTCTACACATTGGAATGTACCTGAAAATGCCTAACTTTAATAAACAAAACAACTCTGTGATTTTAATGCATGCACTGGGACACAATTTTATAGTATAGTAGGATAGAACTACAGTTCTTCTAAAAGGTAATCGGGTGCAGTCAGGGCGGGGTGGAAGTTAATCGTCATACCTTTGTTCATTGAATACACACCTAACAAGTGCATTAGGAATAATCCAACATCAATAACGGAAATATCGAAAATAGTACTGTAGCGTGTGCTACTGATAAGATTTATCAGTAATATATAAAGAGACATTCATCGGTACATAAAAAACGTCAAATAGCAGGGAGGTAGATTTAACGTCAGATAAAGCAAATGCTACAGCGTTGCCGAGAGATACATGGGAGAGACGTGAAAGGAACACAAAGAAACACAGTGTGAATGAAGGAGAGAAAGTAGCACAACACGGAAGATCTATGCAAGTGGTGCGTTGAAGATAGGGTGTACCGAATTGCAAATAAACATTCCTTTAGCAAGTCTCTCGTCTTGTACCGTTTCAGCATTACATGTTAAATCAAAGGATGGAACTATATGAACACATTCTGAAAGGTTTGTGAATACTTTGATATGAATGGGAGCAATAAAATTATTGTATTGTAGAATTATACTCTACCACGATGCCTGAATTCTGTGCGTTTATGTTGAGGAACTGTATTACGCAGCTTTCTGGTCATCGGGGGATCATATCTAGAAAACACAGTACATTTACAGGTTTGATCCAGAGATGACATCAGTTAGAGAACCATTGGAAAACCTACTGGGAGTATTGAACAGTTGTTTCGTCCTAGTCTTTTCGAACTCATTCACCTGAATCCGAACCCACGACCTTTCAATCACAAGGCGAGCTCGTAGACCACCATCCAGCCTTTGAACCCGATTCAGTTGTGCATGAATTCCAACTTCTGCATATTCACATTATGTAGCACAATCGCCAGTCAACTTCGGTGGCGAGTAAGTGTTCTGTTATTAGACTTGATGGATGCCGCTGGTTATGACTTCTGATTTTTGGGCTGGGTTAGTCCCTGGGTTACACGTATGATCAGATCCATGCAAAATGAACAAAGTACTCCTCTCTATGGTGTTCAGTCTACCTCACTCATGTTAGAAAGCATTATTAACTGACTAGGCTTGTTCCCAACTCCTAATATCAATCAGTACTATATCTGTCAAGTTGTATACTATATGTTTCCTTCTAAAATGGGAAGGATTTCGTTTAGTCTCGTTAGTGTTAATTTCTGAATGATTTCCTTGATATATTTCCTGCTGATAACGATAATAGTATAACTTTCCTACGAGTGGATCGTACAATGCGTAAAAAATTATTCAGAGATGAGAAAGACTTAGTGTTTGTCTACTGCATCATAGGGAACTAAGTTAGCAGTGTAAATCAATTAGTGCAATAAAAAAACTGTAAACAGCTTCACAATAGTTTTTTAGAAAAAAAGGTTTATTTTCAAGAATTGGTTTGTAAGGTTTAGATTTGTTTTTACGAGTTTGACCATGGATTGATATCAGTTAAAGAACCGTGAATTCTAACTTCTACCAATTCGTGATTTAATGCCACCACCAAGCAATGTCATTGATGGGAAATCCATCCTCATGGACCATTAAGTTGGGTCCTGGTGGCTGAATGGTATACGAACTAGCTTGCCTTGTAACCGGAAAGTCCTGGGTTCGAGCCTGGGTGGTGGGTGCGTATTGCTGATGATTCCCGAACTAGGATAAAACACCTGTCCAGTGCTCCCTGTTGGTTTTCAATGGTTCTCTAACTGATATCAATCCGTGGTCAAACTCGTGAAAAAAAAATTTATTATCAACCCTGTTTATGAAATAGCATGCTAATGTGTGTGTGTGTGTTCTTGAATGATATTTTCTGATGGCGGTATTTTCTTTAAACTGGAATAAATTGAATCATTCCCATTGTCGGTGTATTTTGAAACAAAAAGAAGTCTAAGATAGCATCAACAGTTGTCATTTGGTGAACTGTAATCACAACTGTTAACATTTTCGTTATAGCATGTATAAATTTTCATCTGTGAATCAACACAATCTATCCCCTCCTGTTTCGTTTGGATTTATAAGGTTTGAATATATGACCTCGTAAACAGTGCTAAGCAATCGAAACAATTTACATTTCACTTATGACAAGTATCTTTTCTCATCTGTGGGATTTCAATTCCCCACCTCCCCGGCCACCTTCGGTTCGTTTTAAATTCCTGTGTATCATATTTTCATTATTCATTAACAAAATACAACCGAAATTCGTTAAATTTCATTCATGAGCTTGCCTTGTAACCGGAAGATCCTGGTTTCGAGCCTGGGTGGTGGTGGGTGAGTACTGCCGATGATTACCAAACTAGGATGAAACAGCTTTCCAATACTCTCAGCTGGTTTTCAGTGGTTCTCTAACAGATATCAATCTGTGATCAAATCGTAAAAATAAAACCAATCCTTACAAACCAACTTTAGAAATTGTTTATTTCTTTTTTCATTTGTGACCTCGTCTCAACTGAACTGTAATCAAATTCGGTGACATTTCACAAACGAAATAATATTATTCATAGGAGTCTTCACATGTCACCGATTCACCTCCCTCTACCCCTTGTTGAATTATGTTTTCGTTGTATTCTTCTTTACTATCACATCTCTGGTCAAACATATTATCAATCATATTGTATGTAATCCGCAGACAAGTCTGTAGCTGTCACACTATGTATTCTGTGTGAAACCTACTCTTTGCGGATTGGTTGGTCTCAATAGACTATGTTCATAGAGAGTGCTATTTTTCACTACTAACCGCAGCGGTTAGGCAGGTAGTGTTTTATTTCAGCACTTAAGACATTATTTCACAGATGCTAATCTTATTTTTAAGATTTTGTCGCATTAATTAAGCACCTAGCTTTCTTTTTAAGCACGACCAGCGGTATTTCAGTTACATAGTGGGTAGATAAAATATTCATTTACCATAAAAAGGCATTATCGACGTATATGTTAGAATAAGTTTAGAATTGTTGTAAGCTTGGGTAAGTTCTGTGCGTTACTTCGACTAGATGTATTAGTTTGTAATAGGTATAAAGGCTTCGGCATATTTCGGTGTGACTTTACTGCTAATGACAATTTCTCTGTCCAGGTTTTTCTTTGTGTTTGTGAGAAAATCTCAGGCTTTTATTCTTAACATTAGTATTTCTTTACAACATGAAATTCTATAGCGGCTTTTTTGAGTTACTTTTCTCTTGGTTCGGTTATCGCAAAATTCGTGAATTAATGTTGTAGAGTTATATTGTTGTCATTGTTATTATTTTTCACTGGGGTTCCGAGTGGAACATAAAGTCCTAACAGCACATCTCATCTTTGTTCTATTTTTTGCAGTTTTCTGAAGCTGGGCCGAAGATTGTCTTTAATTCCTGATCGCCTCCCCGCACTATCTCCTCCATACCACGCTCTTGGTGACGACTCAGTCGTCGTTTCTCGTTCGAGTTCCACCCGAGGGGTGGTACGCGATGTCATTCGATAATCTCTTCAGCGTTTATTCAATCAATCTCCATTTTGTCACACATATTTGTTGAGCAATTGGCTCTTGGTTGGATTGTTCCCAGCCAGAGTTTATTGTTGCTAATTATTTCTGACCAGCAGGCCATTTGATCTTCACTGTGGAGCCAGCGAAGTTGACAGCGGTTGATAAAAGTCTGCTGTAGGCTGTTGGAAACGCTTTTCGTAACTCCCTGCCCATATTTCTGACCCACACAGAAGAACGGACTTGACAATTGTGTTGAACAGAATTCGAATCTTATTCTTCATGCTGGCTGAGTACAGTGCAGATGATTTTGAAACTGACTTCAGATTGATGAAGGCATATGATGCCTTTCCAATTCTGGCCGGCTTTGACATCTTTCAGATTTCCCCCGTGAACAGCGGTTGGTACTGATTGTTTTATTGATTGGTTATCTACATCACCCCGTGTCTTCTCTACGTCCACCTGAAGTCCTCTCGTTGCTTCTCCTACAACCAGCTTGTTGTTTTGTTGTAGAGTTAAGCATAAGTAAATAATATAACTGGAATGAGAACACCCACTGTCTTCTTTTAAAGTTTAGGGGAAATTTAACTTGTTGGGTTATGCACTCAATTTCTAATCCAATGAGTCATGGTCTGAAATCCCACGCCACTTATTTAATCCGAGTCAAGTGGGTAGTATCATGAGTGTGGTTCACCGCCTGGTATATAGACAATTTATTATCATTATTATTATTGAAACAAGTACGGTGCATTATGGCTACCAAGATATACGCCACACAGAATCTTATAATTTGTCCGATGGCCCAGCCACTCAAATCGAAGTGGGTGATTGTCTTAAGGGGTCAGCCCTGAGCCTTTGACTTGAAATATGGTCCACAATGTATTGAAGCAGCGTTAAAAGCTGGATTCTCATGGTTTCCGGTGACCAATACAGGTTTATACGCCATTCGATATGCTCAGATTCTGGAGACCAAGTACACCATAGGTTTGGAATGAGGGTTTTCCAGCTCCTCTAGGCAGATCCGTATAGTCATCAGTTCGGGTGTAAGCTCCATACTTTCACCCGCTGCATGAAGGTTGTGAAAAAGACTTACCTGATAGAGGCTATGGACGCAAGGCCGCAGAAAAGTAGTTCGAAAAGAGAACTGAAGTGTATCCAACCTTCAGTCGTATCAAGTGGTGTATAGTGTTTTGAAAAAAACTCCTTCCATTTTTATTCCGCGTTGTTGTTGTTGTTTCTAATTGTCAAAATCCATGTTGCTTTTTATTTGTTAATCAGCGAGTGTGTTAACATTTTTTATACTAGTTGGCTTAAAATTACTGACAATTAACAGTCATCTGTATATGGATATCTACTGAGTCATTGATATTTTCAATTTCCTGTTGCTGATTTTTGTGTGTGTGTGTGTGCGTTTATTGATACTTTAGTCGGAGATTCGTGCACTACGGAAACGTTCTCGTCGTAGCTATTTTCGTCCTGGTTCCCTAATGTCTAACACATCTATCATGAATAGTCCAACTTCTTGGCATCATACACCATCATTGTCATCTAATTATTTAAGTGGAATTGCTATAACACCTACTCAGTCAGATCCAGATCCTACATCCTGTTATAATCCTTCATCTTCGCATCAAAACGTTAGTGATGATGACGATGGCAGTTCATCATCACTGGATATGCTGGCTACACAACAACATCCTGGTTCAGATAATTTAGAGACTACACTGGCTGCAGATTTAGCGCATACAAAAATGAAAGAATATGCTGCTGATAATGTGTAAGTGAATTTTCCGCTTGAGAATTTATTTATTTTGTTTTAGAAGTTTTATACAGTGGTCACTTTCTATTTTTTTCCTTCACGTTCCTCACTGGAATATAGGGCTTCAAGCTTAGTGGCTTGAAGTTTATGTAGCAGTGTTTATTTTCCAGGATGGGGTTGCTAGCTCCATGCCTAACCTTTCCTCTTTACCAGGATTATTTCTGGCTTAGCGAGGTGAAGGAGTGCGTCTGTGGCCGGGGATTGAACCCCGGACCATGTGCATGGTCGGCGAGCGTCCTAACCGCTATGCCAGCGACGCACACAGTGGTCACTTAGTCTAAGGAAATTATTCGGATTTGAAATGAATGAAAGGCTATGTCAGTCAGTGAATAATGCTCAGATCAGGTACTGGATATGCCAGTGACGCTAAATAACTATACTTAGGGTTATCCATACACATACATAGTGAATTTTTCCTTGGGTTCTCCAAATGGAACATGTGGTTTCAGCCAACACATTTCTGTTTCACCCTGTACTCCGTCGTTGTTTTATTAGCTGTCTCTACGATAGCCTGTAAGATGTCATTTCTTCTTCACATTATCTCCTGCATTTCATCCTCGAACCCATTGTTTTTGATTGAACTCTAGGTTCTGCCTGATGCGTGAAGTCGGTCAACGGTCTCCTCAGCGTGTGTTCAGTTATCCATCTCCTTTTTACTTCGGCATATTTGTTAGACGACAGGTTCTTGGTTGAAGTTTCTGTAGCTGTTTGATTAGTTTTGTCAGGTAGGGTCGATAACCCTATATCCAACACTCCATTTTTGCATGGGCTTGGGACTGTCTAGAAAACTAGCGATCTGGTATACTAGGCGAGGCATACGCTGAGGAGGCCGTCGAATGATATCGCGCTCAATGCAGACCATCGCTCGAGTGGAATCCAAATGGGAAGCGACTAGTGAATCGTCGGTGCGAGGGTGATATGGAGGGGATGAGAGACTATAAGCAATCGTGGACACAATTGAAGATGTACTAGTTGTTGTTATTGATGTTGTTGGTTGTTTATCATGATCACCTCTGTCTTCTCTGTGTTCACATAGAGTCGTGTCCTTGGCTTAAAGCATAACTTAATCTTTCCTAAACCTAAGCTGAAACTTGTCAGATGTCCCATTTAAATAACACAACACTTCGATGAGCATATTTTATTGATCATCGACAACATTATTTGCCAGGTTTCACTCATTTGCTCAGCAGGCGTTTCAAGGTCATTGGTGCGGTCGAACTCCACTGGTAGTTAGTTAGTGGTGTTTAAAGTTTAACTTCGCGCCACTCAAGCTATGGTCTGGCATGCTATATCACCTGATCGTCTCTTTTCACGTGTGTCCGATCCATCTCAATCTTTGTAGAGAGTTATATGTACATTTGTATAATCAAGTTTTTCAATAAGTTATGTGTACTTCAAACATTTTGTTTAAACAATCATACTGAGTTTAGTGTTTGTATTCTTGTACTTCACAGTAAATTTTGTTGCATTTCATTTCATTATTATTATTATTATTCATAGAAAACATTTGTTCCGTGCTATGGAACAAGTTCGATCCACTCGTACACCGAGTAGTCAGCCAACTTCATCAATTGATAATAATAATCATAATATAATGCTGCCTGAATCAGGACAAGAAGATACAGTCTCCAGTAGTGGTTTTGTTAGTGGATCAGGTATTTACTTTTCTCGCATTGTATTCATAGAGTTTATACATTCTTTTTTTAATGCCCTATTTCCACTTGATAAACTTTATTTTGAAATTGTATAATCACAGAGCAAAATATCTTATTGATGATGAAGCTTCTAACTTTGATATTGAATAAGGCAAGTTTAAATTTGAAGATTTGCTATACCCGCCTTGTTGATCAGATCCTAATAAGCATGAAATTTAGATCCAGTTCTTCCTGTCGATCTTCTGCACGTAACACTTACATATCAGCTAAATCAATGACTGTCTAACTGACTAGGTTTCAACATAGAATTTTACATACCAGTATAGCTGTTCAAGTTGTCATGCTTCATGTAATACACAAAGGTAGAAAAAAGAGATGAAAAATTCAGAAGACCTATGATGAGTAGAAATGTCTTCAAGGAAGAATAATAGCATGGAGGATAATGTGGAGTTGATGAGTCTCTAGGAAATTCCCAGTAGTGAATGCGTTTTCGCCATTACAAATGATTACAACCATATCATCAGTTGTCTCAAGTCATTGACTGTTAGCCTCCTGTTATGTACTATTTTCCCCGTCGCCAAATTGTTTTGTACTCGTCGACAAATTATTATTATGGACTGGTCGAGAAACTAATAGTCCTGACGCGAGAAGGCGGAAATCAGAAGACCACTAGGTTTGCGATGATACTTCTATTGTCCAAACACAAGGAGACGAAAATAAATGGTCTCACACCAAAGTGGTAAGCAAGTCAAGTAGTTGTAAAGAAGTAGTTCACACAAATTGTGAATGCGAATATATATAAATAATTCAGACAAGCGTGGGAAAAATCATTAGACAGTCTTAACATGAATGGCTAATTATAATGGAGTGTCGATCCAATTATACATAGCGAATATAGCAGACATGCCAACAAACATATATGGATATATGTCACCAAGCAACGGACTGTCAACAAACACTCATATTATATATAATATAATATAAGGAGAATACACATTATTAAAGGAGACAAGTCCATACAAGTGAAGTGGTCACAGACTAACCGAGCAAACAGAAAGAGAGACCAACATACACACACACATAAATATATATGTGGATACATATCACCTCCCGAATTTTCGAATGAGGTAGGTAGTCTACACCTTTCTACATGGTTCAAATCAACTGTCGAAGACCTCATAGATTGACTCCAGGTTTTGATTTCACTACCCTCACTTTATTCCAACAAAATTAATATTCCCTGACGAAAGTAGAGGTGACTTGTCATTCGCAATAAATATCCCAACCATTTCATCTATTGATTTTCCCTTCTTAATTAATACTCTATACCTAACCTCACCATTACTGAACATATTGTACCACTTTAAATCGGAGAGACGGAACACAATGATCAAAGACAGCTAACCTTTTTATAGCTTTCACTTTCAATGACGATGCGTCGTAGCTATGTAGCTTTTTTTTTGCTTTACTTCGACTATCTCCTACGGGAGGATGAGCCGGCTTCATGAACATCTCGAATCATCGCTGCCCAGGCGCGGCGATCTGATGCAAGATTTTGCGAGAGGGTTATCCGATTCTTGTTCCGCAGACGGAGTCCGTAGACGGTTTGTAGCCCCAGACACTCCATATCAGCCTTGACTGTACCAAGCCATGTTTTCAGCTGTCCACCCCTGCGACATCGCCAAGATGGAAATGGCGAGGGATTTTGAACTGATTTGACCAGATCGTCATCTGGTCGGCGCAGAACATGGCCAAACCACCGAAGGCGACGTTGTTGGACCACTACTGGAATTTGGTTGATGTTGTAGAGAGTTTATGAAGTTTCATGGGAATTAGGTACGATTGATGTCCCCAGCATCGATCGGCCTTTTGTTTGAGAGTGCAGCTCTAGCCTTTACACAACCAAGTGTGACCTACAAGGCAGTAGGAGTGGAGTAGGGAGTCCACTATCCATTGGCAGCCAGCCGGTGACCGGAGTCCGGTTCATACGCCTTTTTGAATGGGGCCAGACATCCAGGGCATCCAATAAGCCCTTTGTCCATACGTCTGCCGGTGAGCTCCGGTGAGCTTCATACGCCATTCGTTGGGGGTTTGTAATCAGGGTTTAGCCATCTCCCCTAGACTGTCATCCAATCGACAGTCAACCCGGTGAAGAGCGCCGGGTATCCGCTTTTGCCCTCTCACTTTGGTGAAAAACACCTCCGCCACGTGAAGGCAGTGAGTATGACTTCCTCAGGAGAGGCTATGTGAGACGCCCGGTCATATGGGAGCATTTCAAGAGGTGTACGGAGGGGTGGCCAACCCACAGCGCAAGGGACCCACCCCCGACCATCCTGAGGCTTAGGAGGCCTATGTAGGAGTACAGAGAATTTCCGTCCGGTATATACGTGTCTTTTTACCGATAGACGGATATTATTACTGCTCCAGAGATGATGTATCATGAGATTTCTCTGGGAATTAGTCCACTGGGGCTAATTCAACTTTTTTTGTGCAATACTGATTATTGAATGATGATGTCAAGGAACTTAATCCTAAATTCCTGTTTTTTGCGAAGACGCTCCGAATCGACAATTATACCAAGTGCGATTATCAACTTTAACTCAAAAACACAAGGACCAATAAGAAATTTTATTCTTCGGCAGTTAAAATCAATACTCTATACAAAGTCTTGAAACAAATGTTTTACAAGGAATGTATTCGTATTTTTCCAACTTGTACACGATTGAATCATTTGCGCCTTCGAGTTGCCCGCCAATAGCGACCAAGGCCAATGAACCAACGTTCAATGTTCACATTCATTTACAGATTATATTCTCTGTTATTTTTTTCTTCGGTATTTCTTCACAGAACCATCAGAAAATCCTCTTAAACATAGATCCGGTGGAAGTGAACAAGTTTCTGATTCTGGAAGTCCTTATGCTGGCAGACTACTGGCTAATCAAAATATTAGTCCTATCCACTTACAGGATGTTGAACGAAGGTATGTATGCGTGGATTTTATGTCGCTGTTTTTTAACAATGCTTTCGAAACAAATCTCTTTTTATGTATATTATTATTACTATTATGTCTAGCCATCGCCTTCCTCGACCATCAATGTTAGCTAACATAAGATGGATCGGGTTGAAAAAGAGTTGGCTAGTGGTGGTCAAACCAAAACATGGCTTCATCAGTCAATGAAATCCACAAAAGTTTGTTTAAACCAGCCAGTCACGTGTAAAGGTGTAGACTGTAGTCTGATTGGGGTCCTTGGGATGATAAAGATCAGCGAAGGCTGGAAACAACTGGTAATATGACCCAAAATCCTCGTTCTGGATGAATGACTCAGATGCATCCACTCTTTATGATTTATAATACTCAATAAGATTCTATTGTTCTTCCATATTACTGTTCATTTTGCCTCAGACTTCTGTTTATTATCTCTCTCTCTCTTTTGAATCTGTCTTTACTCTCTTGTGTTACTCTGTGCGCTACATCGAGAGAGTACGGCAACTCGAACTGCTGCACACCTACTTGTGCAAAGTTCTACGATGAAATTAGTCAGGCAGTCAGTCGTTATTATTATTATTTATGTGATTTACTCCTGAAAATGTAGTATTGTATGCCTAGTTTCAAGTTGCCTTGAAATTTTTCTGCTCTCAAGTGGTTTTCGTTTTTCTTTTCACATAATTTTGAGTATCTAATACTTATTTGGAAATGTTAAGAGTTAAAAGATGCTAAAGTCTAGTTAACTAGTTATTTATGTCTCCCTTTAAAAATTTTGTATTGCCACTATTTCAAAGTTGCTTCTTTCGCCTATGTTTTTTCTTTTTGGCGTCTCATCTCATAGGCAGACAGACAGACATCCTTTGATTATGAACACTAGTAGTAGTTTCTATTAGATGGTTGAAGGTAGTCGGCAGGAAGCCTTGGGCCTAGGTTTCGTGCTGGTTGGCACTCACCAGTCAGCAAGACGTATCTGCATCCTGGGTGACGCGGGTTCGAATCTCAGAAGGGATATGAGTTCCTTCAAGGTTGCAGATACGCCTTACTGACTAGTGAGTGCCAACCAGCATGAAATCTAGGCCCCTAAGGCTTCCTGCCAATTACCTCTAACCATCTAATATCATCACACCAATGTGCACCGTGATGGTGAGCCACCTAGAATGATGGTCACATTGCAAACCTGAATGATAGAATTCAGTCTGCACCAAAGAAAGGACTAGACTAGTGTCCAATCAAAGTAGTAGATTGAGCTGAAAACGTCATTTGGTTATCAATACTGTATTCCTGTGTATTACTTATATCAAATGAATTTTTCTGATATGGAACTATGTTCTACTTATGATCCTCCTGTTCGAAAACTACCTATTCAATAAACTTACAATGTGGCGTGTACTACTGACTAGATTTTTAAGTAGCATATAGTTGCAGATTGATAGGAAGCGACCAAAATTGAAATGAACCTTTTTAGTTCAATAGCTTCAGGGGTAGAAGTGGTTAACTCCTTAAATTTCTAGATTTAGTTTACTTTGGGAACATGAAATAACCTCATTGAATAACTTTTCGTCTCATTGGTTTAATCTTGGTCCAAACTACGGCCAATCAGAACAATTTATTATCTGCTGACCTAGTCGGATTTTAATGTGGTTAAGAGTGTATAAATGTGTTTTCCTCAATAAGAAAAACTCGACAGAGTTAAAAACAATACCGTTTTGTTTTTCATTCATTGGGAAATACAAAATCTTTATTATAATGAAGAGTTAAACTATCTTAGCCCAAACCATAGTGACCTTGAACAACCAATCAGAACTCAGATGCAAAAATTCGCATATTCATTGAATAAACACACTAGAAAATATTGCAAACTTAATATTACCATGCATAGTTGTAGTTTATGTGTTTTAAAATGTCTTCCAGTCAATACTGATGATCTATAGAGAAATCGTGCCACGCACCATATACCCATTAATCTAGGTAACTGCAGCTTTTGGTAACTTCAATTCCATTGATACTTCTTACACTATTCTCCAACCTACTCCTAACACTAACCGTAATCCTAAATTTAACCCTAAGCCCTAATCTTACAAGCCATAAACCTACCTAAAAGTGTAGATTTGCAGAAAAGTACCTAGTAAATAAGTATATTACTGTATATATCCTCTCCAAGTCAGAAAAGACAGGCATGATATGATTTGGAATGATATTTTATTCCATTCCCTGTATCTGATCGGTTCTTGAAGGTCAACCTTTGAAAGACCTTGACTTTAGCCATGATATCTTAACTTCGCTAGAAAGTATGTTACTAATTCTCTTATCTTCTCCACTTACAATTCAATAATGTCCAAATATCTTCGTATAGGCTTTCCATCTGTGACAAAAAACAGTGAAGGCATCAGAAGAACAGCTCGGTAGACTCTGTTTAAAAGAAAAAAAAAGAAATACACAAAATCGTCACGAAACTAACTACTATCGGAGATAAGCTTGGACAACTGAAGAATAGTGTAAATGATCATGGATTTTACAATATCCATACTTGGAACATCTGAAAAGGCATAATCAGCAGCTGCTTTTCATGTGTCCAGAAATAATCGTATCCAACAGTTGAACAAATTAATGCAAGAAAGTGACGCTATCAATGAAAACACCATCAATCATCGATTGAACAAAGTGGGGGTGGTGAGCCTCTCAAAAGAAGCATTAAGCTCTGATGATACTGAAATGTTAGAAAAAAGATTAAAGGATTTCACAGTGAGCTAACATTGTTTAGAGAAACATTGGAAAACCTGGGAGTAATGAACATCTGTTTCGTCCTAGCTCGGGACTCTTCATCAGTACACACACCCACTGGAGTCCGGGCATAGGACCTTCTGATTAAAAGGCGCTCTCGTTGACCATTGGGACCCGATCCGATAGCTAACCCATGAATTCCAACCACTGCCAATTCATGATATAGCGTGGTCACTAACTAGCCAACATCATCAGCGATTAATATTTCACCTCACACCCGACCTCCTATGTACAGGACCGGTTACGAGCTCCCTTTGTAATCGGAAAGTCTGTGTTCGAACCTCAGTGACTGCGTACTGATGAAGAGCCACAGACTAGGACGAAACAGCTGTCCAGTACTCCCTGCAGGTTTTCCAATGGTCCTATAACCGATGTCGGTTCATGATGAAATCCTCAAATATATTTCCATTATTTCCTTCATGGCATTTATATACGCTTTTTAAGTAAAAACCCTGTGTACTTTAAAACACTTCTCAAGATTGCATTATATTTTACAGCCTTCTATTATGCTGTATTGTATGCAATCTTTAACCCTTTACAAAAAAGGAAATTAGGCACGTTTAGAATATTTTGTTCAATGGAAAGGCATTTCATTGAATTGCTTGAAGCACTGATCCTCCTCTCAACATACCTGTAATTGTGTAATGGTAGAAGACCAGAGACTTGGTAAAGGAATGATTATTCGGAAATTATGAACACCTTATCTTCAATATAACTATTTGCACAGATCTTCCATATTGAGCTACATCTCGTATTCCTTCATGTTGTTTCTATATATTCCTTTCACGTCTCTCATGTGTCTCTTTGCAACTCTGAATCACATGTGCGTCGGTGTCACAGTGGTTAGGATTCTCGCCGACTATGCACATGGTCCGAGGTTCGATCCCCTGCCGACGAAGCACACCTGTTATCTATGCTCGGCCTGCAAAATTTGGGCTACCGATATCACATGCTGAAAATTCCATACTTGTACCGAAAATACGGTGTGGAATCAAGTTGTAATCAAAAGTAAAAAATCAATTTGGTTTCTCTGACATAGAATCTATCTCCCTTTTATCTGATGCTTTTGTGTGGCGATGATCGTCTTCTTATATACTACTGATAAATCTTATCAGTAGCACACGCCACAATAACATGTATACTGTGATGAGTTTGACTAAGAGTCTCAAAAAAGAGCAAGTTAAGAAGTCGTGGAGATACACTGATATGATTATGAGTGATCAGTTGTACTCAAAACGTCATCCAGTTATTAAATACTATATCACTCACTGTGTGTTATATAGCTATATATTAAATATACTAATTTCATATATGGAATGATATTCTACCACAATACGCAAATTCTACACTTACACTAAGCATCCTTATGTTTTTTGTTTTGTTTTTTCTTTGTTCTTTTCTATTACACAGACCGGGTTCAGGAGGTTATCAACAACAGCAACATCATCACTATTATCAAACCAGATCAAATCATGAGCATTTATTGGAGTCTGAGAAACGACATAGTTGGTTAGGCTGTTGTGATATCTCATCCAATGTCTCTGAGAAAGGATATCTTTCAGGTCATGATTATAATATAAAGTATAAAAATAGTTTTGATGATAGCCTGCTATCCTGTGATCCAGATGTAGTGGGAACTAATCAGTTATACTATAAGTAGGTTTCATGTTATTACTATTATTTATTCATGTAAACGTTATTTCGCATAACTCTGATATAGTTTAATATAATTCAGAGAGGTAGAAACTGTCTGTTGCTAATTGATCAAGGGCCACTGGTTCGAACCCTCACTCCACTTATTGAGGTTTGCGTAGCCAGGTAGTATCATTAGCACCACATGGAGTTGTAATCCAACTGTTGAGTAATATTTCAGGTGAGAGTGGGGAGAGGGTCGGAGAAGACGTCAGGTTAATTTTTAGTGGGGGTTAATATAATTCACAGAGCAAATTTGCTTTGCCTCTAACCCTACAATTACAAGACCAGATATTTGTGTAAGTAAGTGACATCAACAGGGTTTCAGATCTTTGACTGTAGATGTCTTTTCATTTGAATACTACATGTAATAGGATAGAACAGCAATCTTCAACGTGTAGGACTTTTGACAAGTTTCAGTCTTTGACAAGTTGACAGCTCAAGTTTCCATACTTAAGAAGAACACACAGTTGTAGGAAGTATAATCAAAGAAATTAGTATGAACGGAAATGCATGTGAGAGAAAAAATTTAATAGATTCAGCCAAATCACAATGAGTAAATGCGTTTTTACATTATGGTGAGAGATTTTGGGTGATGTAACTAACCAACAGTCTCCAGTCACTAGTGATTTTTAAAGTCTCAAGGCTGGTAGTCTACCTCTTCTTACACGACTTTCACGTTGAGGTAGGTTGGAAGCATAGTATCCAATGTATACATTTTGAAACCCTCTAGACGAACATTTATTATTGATTATTGCTATTCCCTTAGGTTTAGGACGCTCGCTGACCATGAAGATGGTCCGGGGTTCGACCGCCGGCCGGCGCATTTCTTTACCTCTCTGAGCCAAGAAAAAATTCTGGTAATCAGGAAAGGTTGGGCATGAGGCTAACAACCCCATCCTGTAAAATAAACACTGCTACAGAAACTTCAAGCCACTAGCTTGAGGGAATTAAATAAAAATAAAAAAAAAAAAATTCCCTTAGGTTCCGAGTGGAAAATATGGCTTCAATAGCACATCTCCACTTTCTGCTATTTTCTATAGTTTCTCATCGCCTCCCCCCCCCCCCCCCACGATCTCCTACATGTCACCCATCATTTCCCATTTGGGTTTCACTTGAGGGCCTGGAGCGCGATATCGTAAGAAACATTTAGCTGATTTGCACTCATATTGAAATCAACAAAAGGAGACTGGGTCAGTTTTAATGCTTAACCGACCATATGAGCTCTTTATAAACAAATCGTTTTCCTGATCCGCCATAGCCTGTACTTTATGCTGTTCATTCTATTGAGAATTACTGTTTCACGTAAATGAGACATCATTCAAATATGTATGATAAGAACAGTTAGAACTCAGTACACAGGTATACATTTCTCATGAACTAATCTATGAGCCACACAATTGTTGTTGTTGCTCTTGCGGTGGTAGGGGGGGGCAGGGGCCGATGTTTTCACTGAGTTGTCCAAACTGAAGTAGATGAAGCGAGATTCAACCACCCGGTACCTATTGGCTGAAAGTTGAGTTCTACTTAAGCCAGTAAACCATATCACCATTTTTATAACAATAGTAATAGACTCTGTCAATCAATGTTTTCAGCAATATTTTCAACTGAAGATGTAAAAAATATCATTTAACAAAGGAACTTAAGATATTTCACAACCGCACTACTTATTATTCGTCTTCAGTACTATAAGACGATATAATTTATCCGTGAGGTATAATTTATTTGTACAGTATGTTTCTGACATTCTGATAATATACACATTTGCATGCATATGCCTCATCTATCATTATGTTTGATATGTATTCCACCCATAAATTATATTGGCTTATCGTGCTGTCAAAATCTTTGTTCTACTCCTCACACCTGTCTCAGTCTGCTACTTTAGTTTCAAATTTTAGATTTACTCACTGATCCGCATCAGCTAGAGAGATCACTGATGGAAACCGGGGAGAATTGGAAAGCTATTTCGTTCTTTTTCTGGACTCTCTAGAAATACGTATTCATAAATCGGGATCGACCCTGGGACTTTAAGGTTGCGGGAAAAAACCTCTTTGTTTATTTAACCATTTGTACCAGAATTCAATGACCAACTCATGTATTCTAACTTCGTAAAATGGTGGTATAGTGTTTTCCTGACCAGTGCCTTGGATGAGAATTCACTTCACCTTGACATACGATGGACTCCTCTGGTTATAAATTCTCACTACAGTTACAGGACATCCATCCAACAAGCATTAAAGAGCTGAAGATCAATACTTAGATTTTGGTTTTTTCTTATCAGAAGGTAGAATTCATACAGGGATATTGAATTCCGGCCCAATTGGTTCAATGGTCAAAGCGACTTGGTCTCATAGCCTTGTGTAGGTCCCCGGTTTGATCTTTGGTAGGTTGAGGTCGCTGTTGAAAAGTCCCAAACTAGGACGAAACAATTGGGATTTGCGTACAATTATTATTATTATTATTGTATCCTTTAGTTCCTAGAGGAACATAGGGCTTCAGCTGCGCACCTCCATTGACTTCGGTTTTCTGACAACTTTTTCACCCTGCTCCAGGTCTGTCCACATGCTTTCATCTCCTCCTCGCATGACCTCCTCCAAGTCACCCTTGGACGACCAACTCGCCGCCTCCCTTTCGGGTTCCACTCGAGGGCTTGTCTAGTGATGTCACTTGATGGTTTCCTCAGCGTATGGCCAATCCATCTCCATTTCTTTCTGCCTATTTGTTTCACAATCGGTTCCTGATTGGTTCGCTCCCAGAGATCCCTGTTGCTGATCTTTTCTGGCCATCTGATCTTGAGTATTGAGCGGAGACAGTTGTTAATGAAGGTTTGAAGTTTGTTTGAGATGCTCTTTATGACTCGCCAAGTCTCTGATCCGTATAGTAGCACTGACTTCACATTGGAGTTGAAAATCCGGATCTTATTTTTGATGCTGGATGCTGTTGACCTCCACACAGATTTGAGAGTAATGAAAGCTTGTCTTGCTTTTCCGATTCTGGCTTTGATGTCCTCGTCAGTTCCGCCTGTAGTTGAGACGATGCTTCCCAGGTAGGTGAAGGAGGTTGTTTCTTTCAGGTTCTTCCCATTTATGCTTATTGTGGTCTGTTGGTGTTGTTGATGTTGGCTAGGAATCTTCATCATCTCTGTTTTATCTATGTTCACGTGAAGTCCTATCTTTGATGCTTCTTCTGCCAACTTGTTACTTTTCACTTGCATATCTTCCAGTTTATGGGAAATCAGACATATATCATCGGCGAAATCCAGATCCTCCAAGTCTTTTGTGTCAGTCCATTTTATGCCTGTTCCCTCGTTGGTTGCCGTTGTCTGTCGCATTATCCAATCAATTGCAATCAGGAAGATCATTGGTGATAGTAGACAGCCTTGCCTCACTCCCGTCCTCACTTCGAAGGCTTCCGTAAGTTTCCCGTTGTGGATTACTTGGCATGCAGCATTGTCGTATAACTGTTGGATGAGGTGTATAATTGTCGATGGGACCCCGTAGTAGCGAAGTAGTTTCCAAATGACCTCTCGATCGACGCTGTCGAAGGCCTTTTCAAAGTCGATGAAGTTGAGATAGAGAGGTGACTGCCATTCCAAGCTTTGTTCAATGATGATCCGTAGAGTGGCGATTTGATCAATACATGATTTGTTTCTCCTGAATCCAGCCTGTTCCGGACGAAGTTTTTCATCTAGGGCTTGTTTGATTCTCTCCAGGATGATGCGACTTAGTATCTTGCTTGGAATGGACAGAAGCATAATTCCACGCCAGTTTTTACATTGACTTAAGTCTCCTTTCTTTGGAAGTTTGAATAAGTAACTGTTCTTCCAATCCTCGGGTACTTTGCCCTCTTTCCACACCTTCTCCAGTAGTGGTGTCATCAAGTCCGCTGTTGTCTCTGGGTCTATTTTCAAAGCCTCTGCTGGGATTCCATCTGGTCCCGGTGTTTTCCCAGTTTTAAGCATCTTGATTGCATTCAGGACTTCTGATTTCGTCGGGGGGTCAGTGTTCACTGGTAGTTCTGCTTCCGTTGTTGGTATTGCTGGACGTGTTGTAGGTGGCGGACGATTTAGAAGTCTTTTGAAGTGTTCAACCCAGTGCTTTCTCTGTTCCACCTCTTTGGTGATTGACTTTCCATTGTCGTCCTTTATTGGCTTAATCTGTGTCGAACGTTTGCCCGAAAGGTTCCTAGTTGTTTGGTAGAGTGTGGCGAGGTCTCCTTTGCCTGCAGCTTGTTCTGCTTCGTTTGCCATGGTTTCATAATATTTTCTTTTGTCTTCCCTGGCACTTTTCTTCACTCTTTTGTTCAGTGTATTGTAGCTTGCATTCAGCTCCTGTTTTTGTTGCTCGTCAGTGCACTGGATAATCTTTTGCTTCACTGTCCTTCTCTCTTCTATTAGTTTCCAAGTGTCCGTAGTGAGCCACTGTTTGTCCTGTCTCTTTTTTCTGCCTAGAATTTCTATGCAGGTTTGGCTCCACACCGTTTTCAAGTTGTTCCAGTGCTTTTCAACGCCGACCTCTTCGCTAGTGTTGATTTGTGTCTCGGCTTTGTCCTTTATGCTTGCAATGAAGATGTCCTTTGTAGCCTGGTCCTTCAGCTTTTGAGTGTTGAACTTGGCTTGTGGTCTATCTGCAGCTCCTGATTCCCTGAAAGCTTTTAATTTGATTTGGATTGTCCCTTGTACGAGATAGTGGTCTGAGCCAACGTCTGCTCCTCTTCTTGCTTTTGTGTCCAGTAGGCTGCGCCTCCACTTCCTTGAGATTGAGATGAAGTCGATTTGGTTTTTGGTTTGCCCGTCTGGTGACACCCATGTAGCCTTGTGGATATCTTTGTGCTTGTATACACTGCCACCAATCACCAGTTCGTTGAAGGCGCAGAAGTCGGCGAAGAGTTCTCCGTTTTCATTCATTTCTCCTAGAGCTTCTCTACCCATGATGAGTTCCCTTCCCGTATTGTCTGGTCCCAGTTTGGCGTTCATGTCTCCCATTAGTATTTTCATGTCGCCAGCTGGAGTATTGTCCATTGTTGCCTGTAGTTTTTTTTAGAATTCTTCTTTCTTCTCGAGGTCTGCGTTGTTTGTGGGTGCATAACATTGTATGATTGACACTTTCCTTCCTTTGGAGTTGAACCTGGCGGTCATTATCCTGGACGAAATCGCCTCCCATTGTATCAGGGCTTTCGTTGCCGTTGGTGACATCATGATAGCCACGCCCTCGGTGTGCGTGTGGTTATCTTCTGGGTGACCGGAGTAGATCACTGACTCACCTGTTGACAATTTGGTGAGTCCACTCCCATTCCATCTGCTCTCACATATTCCCAGCACTTGTATTCCGTATCTTTTCATCTCGTTGGCGATCTGGGCAGCTTTCCCAGTCTCGTACATAGTTCGGACGTTCCATGTTCCTACACAGACTTTTTCTTTTGGTGCAAGGAGGTTCATCATACTGAAGTTTCTGTAGCAATTTTGTTTACAGGGTGGGGTTGCTAGCCTCACGCCTGAGAAAAGAATGATTACATTAAGTAAAAGTTTAGAGAGAAGCAACTTTTTGGGTTGCTCCCCTCAAAATCAGAAAATAACGGACAAACAATGAGAACAACATCAACAAAGGAAACAGTTCACAGAAAAAAGGGCAAAAAGCGACGACAACTATACAATACAACAATACAACTATACAATTTGCGTACAAAGTTGTCCCTTAACCCTCCAGTCAGTCAGAGAGTACTACTGACAAGGATTTATAAATATTATATTGCGTGTGTGTGTGACATCTTTCACAAGAATCGTGAATAGATTAGTACGGTTTAAGTTACAACAATGAGAAATGAAATATCTTTAGGAAATAATATGCAGAAAGTATGAATGAGAGGCAAAACAAGCAGAATACATATAACTTTTACAAATTAGAATTGTATATTGTAAATCAAATTTAGCAAATTAACCATTTTACTATGAAGTACCTCTGTGTTATACTGTTACATGGGAATCCGATAATATTCCCATGGTTGATGAGTTTACTAGAAATTAGAAACAATTCTTCCTGTGATTATCACACGTGAATCAGCCTAAATAGCGCAATAGTCCGTACAGTTTTCACCACTCCTTACTTATTAATAGAATGAGGTTATGGGAATGGTATTATGTTTTGCTAACAGTTTTTTGTTGTGTACCGATTGGTTCTTTCCCTTGGTTCCCTTTCACCTAATCTCTGATTTTGTGATTTTGAATCGCTATCCGTTGCTTGTATGTATGTATGTCGCCATTTTATTTGCCGTAGAAGTGTAAATGCTCTTCAGGCTCTCTTTTTACCTGAGAGGAAGTTGTGCCGGGTAGAAGACACGAGACTTGGTAGCGGAATGTTTATTAGGAGTTTTGTACAGCTATGTTACCGAAATTATGTACACCTTATCTTCAAATCACCATTTGCAGAGATCTCCGTGTTATGTGCTACTTCTGCCCTTCGTATTGTGTTGTTGCCGAAACATTGGTTCATTTGCCGTCTTTGACGTCAAATCTATCTCTCCGTTATTTGACATTTTGATCTGCTGACGAACATCGCTTTATATACTACTGACAAACCATTTCAGTAGCACATCCATGCAGTGTATCCAGAAATAAAGCTTCATTAGACTTTGTTTTGTCAACTAAGATTACAAGCTTTGCCAAGGCGCATACATTAACAGTAAAATGGCTAAAATATCTTCTATAATGCATGGTTTATATATATATATATATATATATATATATATATATATATATATATATATATATAACAACAGAAGACAAGGGCCAGGTACCAGATCGTTTATTGTGGAAATCAACACATATTTATAGATTTTCATGTACAACATTATTATAGATTATTGTTAGCAGAAAAACACAGTCTTCTGATTGGTTGTTTCACACTGAAAGTTAATCTTTCATCGCTTTGTGGTTGTTTCTTGAATGTCAGATCATCCATATGTTAACTGTATCCGCCTACGCAAAGTCCTTGTTTTTATTTTTCTCACAACCAATATTTGGGACATAAACATTGACGTAAATTACTGTCTACCGATTTGGCTAGCAGCCACACTCGTCCCCCTGTCAAAGACTTGCGACTGAAGTTGGTTAGGTCTACTGGTCCTAGGGGCTTTGTTCGTTTGTCTTGCTTTCTAGAATCTCTGCGCTCACTGATGTTCACCTGTTCTTCTTTGTTTACCATTGAGATTGTGTCTGCGTAACCCCATCTCAAAGTAACCAAATGTCGTCCTTCCCACTTTGGAAACTGTTTGCCTGACCTTGTCGCACATTCGTAGGTATTTCGCCTCACACTTTTATATGCTGCTTTCGCCGGACCTTCCAGCAGCGTCCCAAGTAACATCCTCATCGCTGACAGATTTCGAATGCCACTCAACTGCGCAGAAGCCTCGAAGTTTATATATATATATACTAATCAATATTTATTTTTTATATTTCTTGCAGATTACCTCAACGCTTAAAACTTATAAAACCATTGGATGGTTCTAATGTTTTACAACATTGGCAGAATTTAGCTACTCCAAGTTTTACTCGAGCATTGTTTGACGCTCCACTACCTGGAGTTCAAAGTCGTGCTGGTGTACCAAATACAGCAAGCAACAGTGCAAGTAATACAAAAATCACTGATGATAATATCGACGATAAACGACGTACTATGTCATTTCAACCATTACCGCTTAATTCAATCAGTTCTAAATATGATGATGGTTTAACGACATATTCTACTTTTAATTCACCACAGAGTGAGTTGTCGTTGTCATTTTTATTGATTTCGGTCTACTATTATTTGATTACTATTATTCCTTTGGGTTCTAAATGGAATATAGAGCTTCAACAGCTCGTCTCCATTTCATCCATCCTGTCCTCTACAATCCTTTTTAGCTGACTCCATGTTTACGTTCCCAGACGATCTCCTCACAGTGTCACCCTCGGAAGTCCAACTCGTTGTCACTGGTCGCGTTCAGGTTGCACTCGAGGTTGTGCATGGTGCGTGTGATGCCTGTCAAGAGCGTCCCCATGACATGTGTGTTCGATCCATCTCCACTAACATCTGTATATTTTCAGTAGTACGTACCTACTGGGGTTCGAACCCAGTCGCTAGTCAGCATCAGATGAATTTTCAGGTATTGGTTTTGTAGGGATTTCGTTTGATTGCATGGAGGATTTCATCATGAGCTGACTGGTGTCAGTAACTCATCGAAGAAGACATTGCGAAACGGTCGCACTATGTCGTGAATTGGCAGAAGTTAGAATTCATGGACCATTGGATCGGGTTCCAGTGGCTCAATGGTCTACGAGTTCGCCTTGTAATCTGTATATTTCTTGGGTGATAGGTTCCTGGTGGTTGGTTCATCGCAGTGCACATGATTCTTTGTTGCCTAGTTCTTTGTTCACCCTCTGATCTTCAGTATGAAGCAAAGGTGTAGCTGTTGATTTTGTCCTATATTCACATTGACCTACTCAATATTGAACCAGCTGTAAAGATAACATATTTGGATACCTCTCTGTTATTTTTATAATATAACGTCTATTTTTAGTAGGGATTATATAAGCATTATATACTTTGTTTTTGTCTTTGCACACTGTGTACTGCATAAAAAGGTGAAAGTCCCTTTGTAGGGAAGAAATATTTCCATAATATCTATTTAGAGATAAAATTATTCTACCCTTCAGGTGAATGACAAACATCATGTCTATCTTTCCAAGTGGAGTTTTGTGTACTCCAGTCATTGCTTACGTTGTTATATGTTAGATTCATTAGATGAACTAAATTGTTAGAAGTTGGAATTCATGAGCTAGAATGTTCTATAAGCTTACCTTGTGAGTGGAAGGTCCTGGGTTCGAATCCTGGTGGGTGGGTGCTCCTGGAGAGTCCCAAACTAGGACGAAACAGCCTTGTAGTACTCCGTGGTTTTCACTGACATCACTGTGTGATCAAATGTGTAGTTATTAGGAGTTGAATACTTGATGAATTCAAGGGAGACCTATGACTTCGGTTATGTGATCAGTCCATACATGTGTATGCCTTGGACAAAATGGACGTAGAAATTCAGCAGTTATGAATCCGTTACGTGTTAAACTTTTGGATAAGTATATCAGCCTAGCAATAAACTAACCAATAGCCGATTGCTTAAAAAATATGTAGAAGAAAGTGGAGATGGAGTGGGTATACGTTGAGAGGAGGTCGTCGAATGAAATCGCGCGCAATGCAGGCTATCGCTCGAGTGGAATTCGAATGGGAAGCGACGAGTGGGCTGTCGGTGCGAGGATGAGATGAGAGATTATGAACAGTCTCATGTGGCTAGCCAGATGAGGTGGACAGCAGAAAACAGAATAAAGTGGAGATGTGTTGTTGAAACCCAAGGGAATAATAACTACTTGAGCTGATGAACTGTTCTGCAACGTCTTTACGATGACAGGTCAGTTGGTTGTAATTTTTTTAGAAAGATGTCATGTCATACACCTTGGGACAGTATAAAGTTTGCTAAGGGAAGGTTTGATAACTTTTTTGTTTTGTTTCTTAACTGTTTCCATTCAGCTCAAACCAATGTCAAGTTTCCATGTGATTCGTTGGAGAGACGCCATAAAATATCGTAAGTGAAATTTAGTAATCTACTTTCATATTGTTAATGTTGAAAAGACTTGTGCGTATATATGTTCCTATTCTAAAACATAGCGAAATATTTTGTTGAATATTGGGAATTAGTTTTATTCTTCTCTTTTTTACAGTTAGTGACATGATGTCTTTCGAATCCATTGTGTATGTGTGTGTGTGGCATTTTGTCATTCCCAGTGTGGGATAATTCACTCGATGAAGCTACGTTGGTTGAGATGATTAAGAGCAATGTAAGCTACCATAGGGTTGGGTTGAAAAACAGTTAGGGCGGTGGTAGTCGAACCAATATCTAGCATCAGTTCATGAAGTCTTTGATAGTTGGTTTGAGCCAATCACGGTTAGGGAGGTGAAGACTACTCTGTGGTTGAGGTCCTCAGGATTTTGACAACTAGTTGGCTGAAAACCTTTGATGATATATGGCTCAAATGTATTCACATGCTTTATAATCTCCCATGCCTATGAAATCCTTATTTTTTTTTACAGGTTACGATTCTTTCGCCCACACATTTCTGCTTATTATTTTTATAGTTCGTTTGAATCCCCATTTTCTCTCCTCTTTCTGCCTTTGTGTACTTCATGGGATGTGGTAACTTGAACTACTGTGTATTTGTGCAAATTGTTCTGTGTTAAGACTCTTTTAGCAGGTTTCTTTTTACCATTGATCTGAATTTAATTTTGGAGAGAGTGCTTATCAGTTGGTGGTTCAGATTCCTGATCGCTTAGTTCCTATTAAATAAGCCATAGTTGCATACCCTCCCCCCCAGGTTGTGGAGATACTCTCTAACTGTTATCTCTCAGCTACAAAATAGGCGACAATAATCTCGTTAATTTTATAAATTGTATTTATCATTATTAAATTCTGAATCTCTATACCGTGTTTGACTACACATCATTATAAGTTAACGAGTTATAACTGGTTTACCGTCATATTTTAGAGTTTAAAGGTCCAGTTGTGCAGTGTCGACATTTACTCTTCGTTCTAATACTTACTGATCTACTAAACGGAGGGTAGAAATGATTCATAATCTTAAAAACAAAACTGGTCCAAATGTATTCCGGTGCGAATTTCCACATGTCACCATCATGATCATCATTTAAGATTGCCAAAATGTGAGCAGGATATATTTTTCAAGGCTCTGAAATGAAAAGTAAAATAGGACATATATATATATATATATATATATATATATTAAGGATGGCAGAGACAGTTTACTGTTTGTGTTAACTAAGGTGTTAGACAGCGTCTGGGAATAAGAGATAGTCCCCGTCTGGCTGGTGTTGTAAGTCATTCATTATTCCGATACACAAGAAGGGAGACAAGTCTTCCTGTGATAATCACAGGGGATTTAACTTGACTTATATAGTATCTAAAGTTCTAGACTCAATACTAGAGTAAGTGGTGCTCGGGAGAAACAAACATGGGGGAACCAAGTAAGCCTTACACTATATATATATATATTCTTTCTAAGTCGTATGTTGAATACAGACAAGACATAATACGAGGAATCCAACGAGAATCGACCTAGAAATCAATCACAGGCAATGGATTATTGGTGTGGTTGTGTGTTCTATCAGCTGGATGGTTAATTTGCGAAGCTTTCATTGTCCTCTTTCTAGACAAAATCTTCAACTCATACTTCAGTTTGAAAAGGAGCATTTTGGAATTCTCCACGAGTAGTTTATCAAGAACGGATCTCTCGTGATAACCGTGGGCTTCAAATTTAAGTATGCAATGAAGATTTTGTGTAAAAAGACAATGAAAGCCTCGCAAGTATCTTTATTCAGCTCAGGGGATACAACTACATAATATCATTCATTGAAGCTATAAATCTCCATTATCATATGGAGCAATTTCTTTACATGCAATTTAGATATACAGACAATAAACTGTTGTTGTTGAACTAGTGGCTTGGCATGAATTGATCTTACTGGTCTCATTTATATGCTTATCAAATGAGCATACAAGTGGATGACTACGAACACATTTTTGATGTACTCTTATTTCGATTTATTTTCTACATTTCCAATAAGTTGATTGATGCATCACTCGAATGAGTATTGTGTTGACCTAATCTGTCATGATTTTTTAAACTATATTTGGTGTAGCTCTGTAGACTCTTGATTTTGTTCTATTCCTTTACGTTCCCAGTGGAACATAGGGGGCTTAAAGCTAGAAATTCGAAGTTTCGGTAGCAGTAGTGTTTACTTTTACGGGATGGGGTTGCTAACCTCATGCCCAACCTCCCCTCTTTACCAGTCCTAATACTGGCTTAGCGACGTAAAAGAGTGCATCCCTGGCGGGGGATCAAACCCCCGGACCATCTGCGTGTTTGGCGACCACCCTACCAATATTCCATCGACGAACAGTAGACTGTTGATTAGGTCTTATAAATTAGAAATTCTAGGAAAATGATTTGCCCTCTAAGATTTAACGCCCTATTATGCTATGTGTAACTGAACAGTCTTCATATCTAACCAAATACTACTTGTACTTTATATTCTAAGTTTCATTGGGTTACTAGTCGTTTCTTTTACATTAGAAGATGTTTAGCATTTCTTTGGATTATATTTTTGTGGTTTTCATAAACTGCCACGGTAGTTCATCAAGTTAGAAATGCCCTCCAGCTTTTGCCTCATGTGGACCTGTGTTTGACTCCCGGTCGATTCACTTCTAAACTTCGCTTAATCGACAGCAAGACTGGAAAATAGTGAAGGTTGACCGTGAGGCTGGCAACCTCATCCCTTATAACATTGTAAATTCTACAGAAATTATTATTATTACTGTTCTCTTGAGTTACGAATGGAACATAAGGCTTCAACAACTCATCTCCATTTAATCCTGCTCTCTTTAGTCCTCTTTGGCTGTCCCTAAGATTTCTCATAAGCGTTCATCTGCTACTCAAAATACCTCCTCCATGTCACACTCAACGTTTTGCCTCTCAACATGTGTCCAATCCAACTCTATTTGTTTCGGAATATTTGTTGAGCAATAAGTTGTTGTTGCACGCCTTTAAATCTCGAAAAATACCCATTTATTCATAAGTAAAAACACAGTTTTTGTTCAGCGAAGAAATTTCTTTTCAACGACTTCATTTTCAAGCTGTACAGTCGTATTTATATTACAGAAAAAGGTTATTAAGTGGCACTAAATAATTGCTCAGTCAATGTACGTATATGTGATAAAAGTTATAAGGGGTAGAGTTGAAGTGGATAAATTACAAACATATGAAAGATTGTTCTATAACAAAAATGTCAAGTGTTGTCTAAAAAATTATGAAAATTAGGAGTACGATTACGATAAGAATGAAGATGTGAAGTGAAGTGGAAAGAATTCAAGTGGTAAAATAAAATAAAAACTAGAAAGAAAATTATTATGACCAAGGTAAAGAAAGGGGTTTGACAAAACGCTTTTGAACACATAATTTAGGTTTCTGTTCATGTATAGCTAAAGCTTCGGCTATGCATAAGTGCAGAAAACGTAAACTTTTGGATCGATTGGATTTTGCCATGTATATAACTTTGAAGGATGAATCACGTGGGGCTAAATGACCAGACTCTAACAGGTGATCACAAATAGACGACTTTGCAGTTCTACGTTCGCCTTTCATTAACCAAACCGGATAGTGTTCAGCTACACGTTTTCGGAGATTACGCTTACAACGTCCAATATAAACAGCTCCACAAGAGCAAGTAAAAGAGTAAATGCACATAGATGTGGACAAAAGCGGTAATCTATCCTTGACGCATTGTCTGATCATATTTCGGCTGGTAAAAACTAGTTGCAGGTCAGCTGCAGGAAAAGTACGTTTAATACATTTAGATAAACGATTTTTAATCAATTCTGAAATGGTGTCACCTTTGAATGCAAGACTCATAAACAGCTTTTTCTTTGGTACTGTGACTTGTCTCGGGGTGGATTCTTTCTTGATGTTACGTTCAATGAACCTTGTGGGATAACCATTATTAAGGAGATTTGATCGAAGGTTGTCTAGTTCCCTATCGATTGTCTCTGGAGAGCAGATTTTACGAATTCTGGAGCATAAGGAGTGAATAAGATTTCTCTTTCTCCCTAAAGGTACCCAACTGTTGAAGTTAGTGTACTGCCCAGTGAATGTTGGCTTTCGGTAAATCGACCTTAGAAGCGTTCCATTCTCTCTTCTATCTAGCTTAACATCAAGAAAGTGAAACGAAGAATCCGACTCTTCTTCGATCGTGAAAAGCAAAGATGGGTGAGAACCATTAAATATTCTAAGAAGTTCAGCAGTTGAAGTGTTTTCATCACATACAATGAAGGTATCATCAACATATCTTTTATACATAAACAGACTATCGATGGTTTCCTTTAGTGGGCCATTCTCTAAGCTAGCCATGAAAACGTCCGCTAAGAGCGGTCCTAAAGGGGACCCCATGGCGACTCCATCTCTTTGGTTGTAGATGACATCATTAAATCTAAATTGCACATTCAGTGTGCATCTCAATAGTAGTTGTTTAAGATAATCAGTTGGTAAGCCAATGTTCATGCTATTTGATTCAATATACTCGCATAGATAGCAGATAGTGTCTACTAGTGGTACATTTGTGAACAATGAACAAATATCTAACGAAATCATATGCTTACCAGTCACATTAATTTCATCAACACAACTGACGAAGTCAAAAGTGTCGGAAAGACTATGTTTACATAGATTCAATCTAACTGGTTCCAGAATTTCCGCAAGCCATTTAGCGGTAGAGTGATACGGCGAATTCAGCATATCCAATACAGGTCGCAGAGGGACATCATCTTTGTGCACCTTTGGGAGACCATATAAACGAGGGATAGTTGAACCAGATGGTTTAAGCTGTTCATACATATATGGAGTAATGATGCATTCTTGCTTCAATTTCGTCAAAGTTTTAGATAAATCCTTCTCAATATTATCTGTCTTGTCCTTTTGATCAGGTGATTTTAGAAATTTATCTTCATCACTCAGGATG